TTCTTCAATGTACATAGCATTCATTTTGTTTTTCTGATAACTCAAATTCATTTTAGAAAATCTGAAAAATACAGAAACATAGTCTAAATAAACTAAAATCACCTGTAGTTTCATCATCAAGAAGCAAACACTTAACTGGTTTATTTCATCATTTTAATTACCATCCTCATTCCTATCGCCAAGATAGGTAGCAACAGACCACAGAGCCCAGAAAGACTTGGTATCAAAGATATGACATCACACAACAGTAGAAAAATAATAGATTATTTAAGAGATGATTTACAAACATTCATATCATGCCTACAATTAAGTTTCCTCTAAAAAAATATATTGTGTTATATAACAGCATAGTGTTTTCAGAAGTTTCGTTCACTTTCATTCTAGCACTGGAAAATGGTTATGAGGATCAATATTTTAATTTTAATTAATGAATAAACTGAGATGTAAAGTGATGGGTATCTCTGGATATCTCTGGGGTTCTTTATATGAGTAGCAGAGACAGAACTGCAGCTTTCACACTGGAGTTGAAATAAAAATAAGTAACGATTTAAGCATTTAATTCTAGATTTTTCTGGAAGAGTATAAATGAGTATGTGCTAACTACATGGGATAACTGGGGCTCAGGTCAATTTATTTTAACAAGTAAGTAATGAGCACAACATTGTTCCTGTTTTCAAGAAGATAACAGTCTAATGGAAGTCAGATAATTATGATTCACAGCAGAATATAACTGACAAGATGTAAAATGCATGTAAAGTAAGTTTAAGCGATTTCTACCTTTGCTCATACAACAAGCAATTGTAGCTGATAAGTCAACAAAGGGGACAAACTGTAATCATAAAACATAATTAATACAGAAAAAGGAACAAAGACCAGACTGGAGACATAGAAGACAAAGAGCAAGGTGGCATATTTAATTTAATCGCAACCACATCAACCATGGTTGATTAAATATAAATGGTCAAAGTAGGGGGTATACAAACAATTATGAGAAATAGTAAAAGTTTCATGAGTGGGGTGGCATTTCCTAGAGGCCTTAAAGGATGGGACATAATTTTGACAGGCAGTGATAAAAAGATATATGGGACATGTTCTGAGGAGGCCTCACAACATAAAAAGATGAAACTGCAAGATCTATTTTACCAACAATAACTCATCTACATGAACTGGAGTACAATTAAGATACAAAGGAGTACTAGAAGATAAAATTGAAATTATGTTAGAACCTTACTCGGAGTCCTTTGAATTCCAAAGAGGAATTTGTAATCAATTTGGAAATTAGGGGAAAATCGCTGAAAGCGACAGAATTGGAGCTGGGCTTTGGGATGACTAGTCTGAAAGTGATCCATTCTATACTTATAAGTAGATTAAATCATAATGTCATGAAGATGTATTTTTTTTTTTTTTTTTTTTTTTGGTGGTACGCGGGCCTCTGGCCTCTCCCATTGCGGAGCACAGGCTCCAGACGCGCAGGCTCAGCGGCCATGGCTCATGGGCGTAGCCGCTCCGCGGCATGTGGGATCTTCCCGACCGGGGCACGAACCCGTGTCCCCTGAATCGGCAGGAGGACTCTCAACCACTGCGCCACCAGGGAAGCCCTGAAGATGTATTTTATTGAGAGAAATTTACAACTAATATTTCCTTTAAGGTACCACATAAAAGACCTGGTTAAAGTAAGTGAATTAAGATATCAAGTCAGGTAACATGTTGGGAGGGGGTAGGCAAGGCAAGAACCAAGAACACCCATATACAGAGAAGTTTCTGTTTGGAAGCATCTTAAAGGTGACACATGGAACAGGACATGCGATGGGAAAATGAGAGTGAGGTAGAAAGAACTGTGAGAAATGTTATGAGCTACTGAACTTTAAAAAAAACAGAAATGGGTGATGTTTCTGCTACCCAAGAAGGGCAAGACATTCTCTTCAAAAGAAGGGCAAGAAGAAGGGCAAGGCATCCTCTTCCCAAGAAGGGCAAGGCATCCTCTTCAAAACAGAGCGTACAGTGGTCGAGGGTACAGAAAGCCCTTCTACGTCCTCTGTATACTTGGAGTATTTCAATTACTTGGTCAAGACAGGATGTACTTAAAGTTCAATCTGTAAAAGTATCTCTCTCTCTCTTCTACCTAATGTTTCCTGATCTGTAAATAGCAAAACTTAAACCCATTATGCCTTGACGTAAGATTCCTAAAGAGAATGTTGAGCCAAACAGTGCAGCTGTTAAAAGGTCCTGTTATGAGCATGAACAAGCCTCTGAGGGCAATATCAGAATGGCATATGTCTTCTATGAAGTAGATGTCTATAGCAGGTGTTCATACGTTCTGGAAACAAAAACTGCATCATTTGTTACTTAGATGGTAGGTTCTTAAAATAGCAGAATGGGTGGGTTAGTCCTATCTTACACAAACTGCACTTCCACCCCTGCACATGCCTCTACAGGAAATTTTAAGTCACTGAAAATCATTTCAGCCATTCGTAATGTAACATTTGAAGGTTAGCGTGACAGAGGTATGCTCTGGAACCTGTGAGTTCTACACATAGAAAACTTTCCACTTTTGACTTCACTCTACGGTAAAAGTTAAAAGAAAGGTAATTTTTTTAAAGATCACTTTGTTTATCTACTTTTGATATGGGAAAACATTAAGTATGAATGAATTCAGTGAAAATAAATACACCTGATTCTCCTTCAAGATTTTCAAGAAAACTTATCAGAGTTGCCATTTAGAATTGCAGTCTTTGTTTACAAGGCAACAAAGAGTGGGCCAATTACTCAAAAGTTAACCTTAAACTGGCCATCCAGATCCAGATGTTTAAAGGAGACACAAGAAATTAAAAACATCCACTTTCTGTCATAATTATGCATGGAAATAACATTATTTTAGAAGGTGACATCAGATGGATTGTATTCTCATAGAATGGATAATACGTATGAGTTTCTCATGTTTAAAAAGTTGAAAAATAAGCTCAATTCTCCCATTTAATTCCACAGTATTTCAATTATTTGAAAACCTTAAGTAATACATATAATAGTTATCACAGATCTTGTCATGTAGCGGATAATTATTGTATTATTATGACTGTTGGCATATAGATTGCTACTGAACACATATCCAACGTACTATGAATGATTATCATACAAACACTGTGCAGTAGGTACCCTTAAAGCAGAGAAAACTTCTTTCTCTCATGGTAAAAGGGAAGAAACTAATAGTCTATTATCCACATCTCAAATCTCTGGTCAAGTTTAATGGCTTTAAAAAAAACAGCTTTAGAAACATATTTTTGAAGAAATGTCACTGACAATACAGATCTACAAGAAAAATTACCCATAGATTATATTACTGTTCTTTCATTCCTATGCCTTAGAACAGTGTATGAGAATCAGAATCACCTGGAAAACTAGTAAACATGCAGATTCCTGGGCACTCCCCACAGTACATTTGGAGTGTGTGCCAAGAATCTGAATTTCTAACAAGTTTCTGTGTGATGATAATGCTACTGGCCCACGAACCACACTGGACTAGCATAGCCCTAGAACATGAGTCAGCAAACTGTGGCCCAGGGCTAAATTCAACCTGCTGCTTGTTTTTGTAAAACAAGTTTTATTGGCACATCACCATGTCCATTGATTTCACTTACACATTGTCTGTGGCTGCTTTTGCAGTTGAATACTTGGATCAAACACCATATAGCCTATATCATTAAAGCCTACAAAACCTTACATACTTAAAATTTGGCCTTTCACAGAAAACGTTTGCTGACCTTTGCCCTAAAATTCCACTCTTCTCCCTAATATCCAGTTGAAATCTTTGACATTCAGAAATAAAATTTACTGATAACAAATATGAAGACATGTAGTGAGACAACAGCATTTCAAGGCTGATAAAATGTTTATCATCTTCATCCATGTTTGTGACTAACAGCAGTGAGTTACTTTCTTACTGCTATGATATAATCCTGATGAATGTCTGCTGTATTCCACAATTAAAAGTCATAAACTTACTCTCCTTTCTATAAACCTGCAATTTCAGAGAAACGGTGCTAATAAAATCTATACGGTACAACAGAAAATATATTGAAACATTTAAGATTGTATTAAAAAAATTTCTTATTTGAGAAAATACAGGCAATATAAGAAAATTATCCCTCGTCATAAAGGACAGGGAGTAGAAGGATAAATTAAATCATGAATTTCCCCAATAATCTTCTGTATCATCACATTTTATCCTCTGCTTTCCCTATTTCTGCATCACTGGATAGTTTAACAAAAAATGGCACCCTGAGAAAGTACCAGCAGTAGCAGCAATAGGTTGACATGAGGCTTACACAGAGTGGTGGTCGCTAGCCTCACACCTCTCAGATGTGTTTTATTATTAGATTTAAACAAATTTTTGCAGGATATGTACTAGTCAATTCACTCCTCTACCACTTCTCCATGTTATGCCAGGACATTTATATCAGCTGCTGCACTACTGAACACGTTTGATTTGGAGTCCCTGGCTTAAATAATATTCAAAGTAAAAAAACTGGGTCATGTAAATAGATCATTTAAATGATTAACGTGATAATTAAAGGCTATTATGTATATTTGTTTGTATGTATACCTATATAAATGAAACTATAGTCGTACTAATAAGGAACTAATGGTGTCTTAGAGCAAAAGTCTCAGATTGTTATTCAAATGTATTAATTTAATTTTGTGAAAGGCCATACGGTTTAGTCATCCCCACTAAAAGTGTGAAAGTAACCTACTTATTTATTATAAAGCTGTCTCTGGAGGTTCAGATTACTTTTACATCTGCTGATAAATAAAACTCTTGTTTACTGGGCTATATGCATAGTTTTCCAATGAATTATGTATTTGGTTTCTTTTGAACCATTTGTCTTTGAATGAGAAAAATCCCAAACCAGTATTTTATAATCTCTTGGTAAATACAAGTACTTCTCATTGTTAGAATATGAGATAGCTAATAAATTAACTGAAGAAAATTTTCCAGCTAATACCTGTTGCACGATTGTTGTTAATTCCAAGCAGAGCTGTATGACATTATTCCTTGTAACTGAATAGTCTGTGACAGCAGCAAATGGTGATCTATAAAGGAAAAAGGAAAACTGTGACTAATAGGAACAGCTTTTGAAAGTTCCCCAAATACAATAGCCTAAAACAAGATTTTGAATAATATGAAATGAATTGTTCTGAAGTTTACATAGTGATAAACAATATTCGGAACATATTTAAGGAAGAAAATCGAGGGAAATGCTTGGAAGATAATTCAAGAAAAATGTTTGTTTTCCATCAAATTTCTCTTTTTTTTAGTGCTTAATATTTAAAAGTTCTTTCGTACTTCTTACGAGGTCTCTTCACTACATCTAAAATAAAACACCACCAAAAAGGCATGCTTTAGCAAAGACATTTTAGTTTATTTTCAAATGAAAGTAAGATTTTGAGTCCAGTGGCTTCTTGAAATAGTCACAATTCAGAGCTAGTCTAATGACAGCTATCACCTACCGAGGACTTACTACATGCCAGTTACTTTTCTAAATGCTTTACATGTACCAACTAATTTTCACAACTCTTATAAGATAGGCACTATTATCATTCCCATTTTACATATAAGAAATGTGAGGTAGAGAAAGGTTAAGTGAAAACTAGTAAATGGTGGAGCTAGTATTCAAACCCAGGAAGTCTGACTCCAGACTCCACAGTCCAGAGTTAAACACAAATATACCACCTCTATGAACTTAAGTAGGTTTTTATTTGTACCAAATCAATTACTTACATCACTTCACATCCCTTTTCAAACAACTTGGCATGTAAATAATATATATTGGTATGAGGTTTATATTTTCAAGAATGTTATAGACAGCAGCAGTCTTCCCAAGCAAGTGTTTTGCCACCAAATGAATTCAGTGCCTTTCCATTAGTCCTTATCCTCTCTCTTGTCTACGAATGCCAATCAGGTTTTTGTGGGGCCAAAGCTTATATGATTTGGGAGGCCCAGTTTAAAGAAAACAAAATCACAAATAGAAAAGAAGGTATGGGGGTAAATATTTAGTCGGATTACTAGAACTTTAGTGCTTTGGATCTCTCTACTGATAACTCTTAAGGCAATTTACTATAAATGATTATATAAGACTGCTTCCTGGTTACAAACTGAATTTGTCTCTCTTCTAGAAAACGCTACAACTCAAGCACCTCCCATTGTCACAGGGGTCCACAGGAGAGGCCCTTTATTGGTTACATTTTTTTAAAAACGTATTTTTCACTTATGTATTTTGGCCATTCTAATAGCTAAGTAGAGGCTTATCACAGATTTAACTTGTAATTCCCCAAAGTTATATGTATTTGCTCTATTTATATATTATCTATATTTAATCGTTAACTATATTTCCCTAATAATTTTCTAACTGGTTGTGCTGACTTGTGCATATTTGCTATCCATATATAATCTTCAGTGAAATGTCTGCTCAAGCCCTTTGCCCATTCTTTATTTAGATTTTTGGCATTACTATTGAGTTTAGAGACTTCTCAGTATTTTCTGTATGCAAGTCCTTTGTTGAATAGGTAACCTGTAAAATTTCTTCTCCGTCTATGGCTTCTCTTTCCATCCTTTAACAGAATCTTTAGCAGGTCAAAAGTTTTTTATTTTAATGAGGTCAAATTTATCGATAATTTCTTTTCTGGATCGTACCTTTAGCCTTATATCTAAGAAATCTTCACCTGACTCTAACTCAAGTTTTCTTCTAAAAGTTTTTTATTTTACTTTTAGATCTATGACCCATTTTTAACTCAATTTTTGTATAAGGTGTGAGGTTTGGGTCGAGGTTCACTTTTTTCCCTCTGCCTATCCAAGTGTTCCAACACCATTTGTTGAAAAACTAACCATTCTCCACTGAATTGCTTTTGCTCCTTTGTCAAAAACTGGCTAACCATATGCATAAAGTTCTGGACTCTCTGTGTCTATCTTGCCACCAATACCAGTTTTGATTACTGAAGTTAGATAATATTTAAAATAGTATTAAAAAACTTCAAAATTGATGAAGTATTATGGTCCCTTTATTTTTAATACAAATTTTAGAATCATACTGTCTGTAGCTATAAAAAAAACCCTGCTGTAATTTTTATGTGAATTTTATTAAACCTACAGGAAGATTTGAGAACTGACATCTTTACTAAGTTGAGTCTTCCAATCCATGAACACAGCATGTCTCTCCATTTATTTAGGTCTTGTTTGATTTTTTTTTATTTTTATTTAATTTTTTTTTGTTTGATTTTATACATCAGTGTTTTATAGTTTTCACATACAAATCCTGTAGATATTCTGCTAAATTTATATGTAGGCATCTCATTAATTCTAGAGCAACTGTAAATTATACCATGTTTTTACTTTTTGTTTCCAACTGTACATTGCTAGTATACAAGAATGTGATAAATTTTTCTGTGTAGACTTCATATTCTACAACCTTGTCAAATTCACTTACTAGTTCAAAAAGATGTTTTGTAGCTATCTTGGAATATTCTACACACAGACATATATTATCTGCAAATAGGAAAAGTTTTAGTTTTTCCTTTCTAATCTCTAGACCTTTTACTTCCTTTCCTGGCCTACTGTATTGGATATAACAGGAGGGATGAGAGAGGACAGCCTTGCCTTATTCCCAATCTTAGGAGGAAAGTATTGTCTTTCACAGTACAAGGTCAGCTATTGCTTTTTATATATGCTTCATATCAAGTTGAGATATTACTACTCTATTCCTACTTTGCTGAGAATTTTCCTCATGATCAGGTATAGGATTCTACTGAATGCTTTTTTTTTACATTAACTGATTATATGATTTTTATTCTACAGCACATTAACATGGTAGACTACATTGGTTTATTTTCAAGTACTGAAGCAGCCTTGCCTGCCTAGAATGAATCCCACTTAGTCAAGGTGCACAGTTCTATTTATATGTGGTTGGACTTGGATTGCCAATATTTTGTGGAGGATTATAACATGTAAGTTTGTACTATCTTTGCCGGGTATTGGAATCAGGATAATGATTGTACCATAAAATGAGATGGGATGGATTACCTCTATGTCTATTTTCTGAAATAGACTGTGTAGAATTGGTGTTATTTTTTCTTTAAACATAGAATTCACCAGTGACATCATCTAGGCCTGGAACTTTTTTCCCCTACTCCAAAGAGTTTCTAAGTACAATTCAATTTCTTTAATAGTTACAGGATTATTCAGAGAATCTATTTCATCTTGGGTAAGTTTTGGTAGTTTTTGTGTTTTTGAAGGAATTGGTTCATTTCATCTAAGCTGTCAAATGTATGTATAAAGAATTATTTGTAGTATTCCTTTATTATCCGTTTAATTTTGATTGACTTCTCAACATAGTGTGGTCCCGTTTTCAGTTTCATTGATTTCTGTTCATTTATCATTATTATTTGCTCCCTTTTGCTGCTTTGGGCTTATTTTCTACTTTCTTTTTTCTTTAATTTTATTTTTTTAAGAATACTTAGCATGAGATCTAACCTCTTAACAAAAATTTAACTGTAAAAGACAATACTATTAATTATAGGTACAGTGTTCTACAGCAGATCTCTAGAACTTTTTCATCTTGCTTAACTAAAACTTTATGCCCATGCTTGTTGATTAGCAATTATTTTTCTACTTTCTTGAGATGAGAGCTTAGATAATTGATTTGAGACCTTTCTTTTGTTCTGATATAAGCATTCAGTGCTTACAAATTTTCCTTTCAGAATTGCTTTAGCTGCATGCCTCAAAAACTATGACTTGCTCTAATTTTCATTCTGTTCAATGTATTTCTTTTTATTTCCCTTGAGATTTCCTCTTTTATCCATGGATTAGTTAGAAGTGTGTTGTTTGATTTCTAGTTTGACTCCATTATGGTTAAAGAAGAGATTCTAACTGATTTAAACTATTTTAAATGTGTTGAAGTTTGTTTTATGATGCAGATACGGTGTACCTTCATGAATGTTCCATGGGCACTTGAAAAGAATTTGTATTCTACTGTTGTTGGATGAAATGCTCTCAAAATGTCAAGTATATCTTGTTATCTGGTGTTGTTCAGCTCTTCTAATCCTTACTTTCTGTTTTGAGAGAGGAGATGAGATATCCAATTGTAATTGTGGATCTGTCTATTTCTTCTTTTAGTTCTGTCATTTTTTGCTTCAAGTACTTTGAAATTATTGTGTGGTATATACATCTTAGCAGTTTCTGTTTCTTGTTTTTTGAATTGTCTATTTATAGGCTCATCTGTTGCATTTTGGTGTTCTTCGTTTTTAATTTAAATGTAATATTCACCTAGTACACATTAACCCCCTGCTTCTCGTAACTGTTTGTTGCAAGTATTTTCCCCAGTTTGTCATCTGTCTTATACTTAGTCATGTTTTTCAATTTTATGTAGTCAAAGTCAAACAGCATATTTCTTTGCATTTTATTCCATATTTTAAAATACTTAATAATAAGTCTACATCTAGAAATCATTTTTTGTCTATATTTTCTCCAGTTTTCTTATGGATTTATTTTTCCCTCTTAAATAAATGATAGGCCTAAAATTACTTTAGTGAACAGGTAGTGTTCTATCATTATTTATTCTCCAAAGGCTTAATCAAGTACCCCAATTCCACTTATCAAATGACCCTTTCTTTTTCCAGGGGTTTGAACATATTGTTTTCTAAATGATTCTATATACCGCAGTCTATTATGCGCTGTCTTCCACTACTGTTTATTCCTATTCCGAAATGGTATATTTTTCAACATAGTTTACTAAAACAGGAGTCATTAAGAATTTAAATAATGATAATTAGAACAAAATGTATGTAATTAATTAATCTGAAGTCATTGCATAGGTATATCTAAATTTATTAAAACTCATTAAACTTAAAATGGATAAATTTTATAGAATGTAAATTAGGCTTCAATAAAACTATTTTTAAAAAGATGTTAAGATACAAGCACTTCTAGGAAAACATCATTTAAAAAAACCACCCCAAGACCATTTTTTTTGCTGCATTGAAGCATAAAAATTGGCATTTTAATTAAGAATTCAAAAATGCTTCTGGCATGATTAGAAAGA